TGTGATGTTAGCAAAATGCTATTGACTATTTTTTAAAAGGGGAGGGGCTACTCTTGCTGCATGCCAATTCACATACTATCCATGCAAGTATTTGATAGCAGAATTAGTTAGGCATACGATTCAATTAGAGGTGCAGATGTGAGTAAGAAGTGTTTCCAAGCTATAAACATGGCAGAAACATGAGGCTGACAGTCAAGTGCAAAGTCTTTGAATAGATGTTTGAATGATTGTTAATTAATATCTGACCTACTGGAAAATATTTGTTTATGTTTTCATCTGCAACTACGTGAACCTTTTATTAAGTCCTGTATGGTCATTAACGTTTGAATGCATAATTATGCTAACACCTGAGGAGATTTCTCTGCATGAAAGAAAAGCGAATGGCAGATTAACCTGCTGTGGCTTCTTCAGTATGGTAGGAAATGAAAGTTTATGTGAAATCAGGATTTACTATGTTTATTTTGCTAGCGCACATTTGCTGTTTCCACCCAAAAATGTGAACTACATTTACGAGCAAAACTGGAATATTGCATAAAAGACATGCGAATAAAGCGGTGTTCCCAGCAAGCATTTTTGTTTCTAAAAGATGTCTAATAGATAGGCCAATAGGCCAAAACTAGACTAGTCATCAAATAAACAGACATGAATGACTACACATATAAAGTCTGTCTATTTGACCACTAGTCTAGTTTTAGGCTATTCTTATATGTCTATTAGATTTTCACTGACTATTGATGTCAGTTTGATGCTTCAGACACAAAATTCTTAACCACGCCCCTCTTATCCTTAGTTTTCTACAAGTGAATGATGTGTACAAAGAAAACCCCGCCCCCTACTCAGTATTAAGTTTCCGTTGAAAGTACATCAACATACAACAACAAAGTCCTAGCAACCTCTGGTTCATACTGATTTTAACATAAACCAAAAGCTCCAACCATATTTTTTTCATATTGTGACGCAGCTCCTAGAGCAGTGGTGCTCAACCCTCTTCCTGAAGATCGACCTTCCTGCAAGGTTCAGCTCCAACCCTGATCAAACACACCTAAAGCAATTAATTAGGTTCTGAATAGCACTTGAAAATTACAGGCAGGTGTGTTTGAAATGGGTTGCAACTGAAATCTGCAGGAAGGTCGATCGCCAGGAACAGGCTTGGTCACGCCTGTCCTAGAGTAATATTAAATGAGCAAACAGTGGGCGTGGCGCGTAGTTTTTCTACTGCGAGCCGATTAGATGTAGTAAATTTGGTGTTTTATTTAGAAAGCTGGGGAAAAGGGTTTTAGAAGTGTTCTTACAACCTAACAGACTCCTCCTTCTCACCATTTCTGTGTGTGGTCAAAATGGACCGTTGGAGTGGCATGGTTATGTAGGTTAACCAAAACCAAATACCTAGGACGTGTAATCTGACAATTTAACTGAAAAAAGGTTGTTGCTAGATCAGATATGGTTGTGGCCCAAAGTTAACTAGAATTATTTATTAAGTGGTACCGAGTATCATTTATTTATTAAATTACCTAGTAAATTGTATATTATTAACACCTATTTCCACCCCAACAGTCATAGTAATGTAAAAATATTAATTAATTTTATACAGTGTTACGAAAATAATGCTATTGCCCTTATTCTTCAACGCGGAATTGTGCTCATTTCTGCGATTGTTTTAGAACTTCCGATTCAGTTGACTAGGAATAGTAAACGACAGAAAAAGAGTTAATTGCAGAAACAGCACTACTTGCTCTACAAACAAGTGTTTCTATGATTACAAAAACAGCAGATTCATTTGATAAGAACATGTCAGTTTGCGACATCAAGCAGCATAACAAGCTGTTTTTAAAGTTTAAAAATCAATAGAAGTTAATGAGACTGGAAGTCATGAGCCAAAAAGATTCATACACAAAGAATAAGGTGAATATCGATGTACGTATCCAAAGCTGTATTGTATATAGACTTTACCCGGGAAAAAAACAGCAAGTGCGTTTTCATATTTCAATCAAAAATTACTAAGGGAAACATTTTTTTTGTTGTTGTTGTTGTTGTTGTTGTTCACCACAAAACTAGCAATCTGAGCTAACAAAATTACATAGTTAGTTTTGATTTAATTTGTATTTTAAGTAAAAAAAATTAATGTACTTTGTGTCAAGATATACAAATAAACTTAATGAAAAGACAATAAATAAAATGAATATGAAATAAAATGAAAAGATGACTAAGGCACACAAGTTTGTTAAGGAGGTAGTACATTCCAAAGTTAGCTTAGTCTTGTTACACATTAAGAAGTATACTTTTTTTTAAATCAAAGAAGTACATACTTTTAAGGCCTATTAGTAGGTGAATTGGGACACTGCATTTTAATCCCACCTGTTCTTCATGTTTTAATGTACATTAAAAAGTCGTGCATTTCAACTCAGGTGACCTTTACTGATAATTGATTGACACAGACGCCTCAGACTGTCCATGCAGGAATGAGACTTCCAGCCCCGGCTCTGCTCCTCCTCATTAATTAGCTGTTTCCTGTTGACCGGAGGGGTTTGCTGGTTAGTTGCGGGCCCTGGCTAGAGCGTGCTAATTCCCCTGCTGCCGTGTGATTGGCGGAGAGGCCGAGTATTTTCAGATTCTAATCTCGTTACGACTCTGCACTGCTAAGACTGTCTGTTCTTGTTCACGCGTAACACTCTTGCCTGAGGCCTCTCGCCTGCTGCTGTAATGTACCGAGGCTCTGGGCTACTCTGCAAACAAACACAAACGCACACGCCGGCAAGAACCGTTAAGTGTGCCAGAGCAAGACACTCTTGCTGTCGAGTCGCTGACCCGAATTCTGAGTTCAGCTGCATCTCTGTTTTTTTTTTTTTTGAATGGGCATCTAGTGTTTGCTCTGTCAGCTGGAACCGGGCATGATTCACCTTGGCGGTTGCCTGGTTTTTTCAAGAATGCCAAAGGACTTAATAAGCCTGTTCAGTTGTGCAAGAATCAGCTTTCCTGTTTGTGCATGTTGTTCGGTTGAATGTGTGTTCAGTTTGAGCTCTTTTAGACGTTTCATGTGAGTGATATGTGTGATGTGGTAATCCATCAGTCTCCTTTTTTTTTTTTTTTTTTTCTTCATTTCACACTCTCTGAACAAAAGGTACAAAAGCTGGGATAGTAACACTTCAAATGGTACTGATATGTATCATGTAGGTGTTAAAATGTTCAGTTTAGATACAAGAATGTACCATTAAGATGGAAACATCCATAGGTTAATAGGGTACAAATGTGTGCCACACCAATGACAAATTTTGTGCCTTTTTTCTGATCAAAGAGTGATGTAAATTAAAAGCACAATTTATTATTCATTTCTTAAAAAAATAATAATAATAAATATATATATATATATATATATATATATATATATATATATATATATATATATATATATATATATATATATATTTTTTTTTTTTTTTTTAATTCGAAGAGTTCAGATGCAAAAACCTTTAAATGCAATCTAATATGTTCCTTTAAAATAAGCATTTTTATCAGGCTCCTGTGTGAAGGTTCAGTAATATCACTTTCATGGCAAAGAATAAGTCCTTTTCGTGGTCTTCAATAACCCAACATAAACAAAGGAGGCTGATAAAAATGTTAGTTTTCAATAGAAATTTTAGACGGCATTTAGAGGTTTTTGCATCTGAACTCTTCATATGTACATGAATAATAAATATAAATATTTTGATATCTAAATAAATCTCAATTGATTTAATAAATTGCAACTTTTTCTTCCCACAGATGGATTTTTATTGTTTAGTTTTTGTTAAACATTTTGTGGTGTTTTTATTTGTTTGTATGTCTATTATTTGTATGATTCACTGCTGTATTTGTTTACTGCACAATACTTTTCCAAAGTTAGAGATCGACACCTTTTTTATTGTTGATTTTTATTTATTTATTTTTGTGCAAGAAATTAGTAACTTTAATTATCAAGAAAATGCTAAACTTATTAAAGCTGATGTAAAGCAATTCATTCAAATCCATTTTGGAAAGAAAAATAAAGGGGTCACAAACGACTTTTTTCTTGTTTTGTTCTGGTATAAAGTGTTGCAATGTCCTGCAATAGTGAACACCCAACAAAAAACACCTACTCATACTTGAGTGGTGTGACATTACTGTCAGCTCCAATGTAGTTTTTTGTCTTTAACATTTTTCTATTATTTTAGAGCATTTTGCAAATACGGTTTCGAATTGTGACTTTGTTAACAAATCTGAGGTAAAATTCATCTTAAAAAGACCTAAGTTCTTACTGACATGGTCTGAAACTTCATTAACCTTTTAACTGCATGATCTACCAAATGGTTGACCATACTGTATTTTGACTGTTTTAAATAATGACTGTTAAAGTCATTTAAAGAATGACTGTTTGAAATAATGGTTTTGCATTACACAGCATTGTTGGTTTACAAAAACAAACAAGCATAATGTTGCTCTGCTACACTTGACTTTGGTTTTTTAGTTTAAAATAAATAAATAAAGGTCATTTAGTATTTAAAAGTGTTTTATTTTGAAATTGTTTTAAATTAATTGGTCTTACACTTTATATCCTTAGATTTTCACATTATATTTAATAAGTATTTTTACCATAAACCAACATATCAACCATTTGGTAGAGGCTAATATTTTATAAATTGTGACATGCTGAAAATAAAATGCATTGATTGTGTAAACCAGTGACATTAGGAGCTTAGAAGTGCAATCCGATTTTTTTTCTTGGCTTTTTTTTTTTAGCTTTTTTAATACTATTTTGAGTACTCCAACTTACTCAATCACCTGTCGACAGGGAATTTAGAATTTTCAGTTCATGACCCCTTTAAGCTACAGCGATTTTCAGCAATGATATTAAGCTTAGTAGGTCTGAGCACTGATACAATCACATTTTAAAATAGTGAAAACATTTTTGATTAGAAAGTTAGCAATAAGCGTCATGCACATTTGCCTAACTACCTCGTTTTCCGTGTTATTTTTTCCTCCGGTAGCCATCCAAGGCTTCTCTCCAACACGGAAAATCCGCAACTTCGAAGAAGCTCGTGGCCTGGACCGAATAAACGAACGAATGCCGCCTCGGAAGGACGGCCAGAAACCTGACGGTACCACAGTTAACGCTGCCAACGAGAAGAACGGCACTGACGGGAATGTGTAAGGGGAGATTTTGCACTTTTCCTCTCCTCCATAGGATTTTCTCTTTTTCTGCCACGTTCTCCATGAGACAGACCCTTCAACTGCCGGATCCTGCAGAGGAGATGTGGCCTGGGATGTGGAGAGGAATCATTCCACAATCAGAGAGAGAGAGAGAGAAAACACTTATAACTAAGTACAAACATGAGATTTTATTTATTAAACGAAGCGTATTAGATGTACTTGAGATAGCAACATTTTAAAAACGAGTGAACATTGGAAGTGCAAAAAGAAAAAAAAAAACAGGTATACAGTCACAATGTGTCAACCTTTAAACCGCAACTACAGTTCATAACTTGAGAATGGAGTTTAAGATGCTTTGAAATCTAGTTAATCCCAGTTTTTATTATTATATGTCATGATGTATTTGGCAAGGGATGGTTTGGTTGAATATATTGATGCATGTTTATCAATAAATATGTCTGTAAGGGATTTATTAGCGCAAAACAAACCTAAGGGAAAGACGTTATACTGCAAGTTCAATTGAAACTATTTTATATCTATAAAAAAGTAAAACTCTTTTAATATTACTCATTTTCAAGCTAAATTTTGACTAAATATTAGCTGCTTCCGTGTTTTTTGTTTTTCCATAGCATTTATAAATGTCTTTTTTTCGAAATACAGCACTCGAGTCTTGCCAGATGTAAGTAGCCATAACATTGATCTTAAATAGAAGTTGTTTGATTCTATTTGTGAGTGGGGAAAGGACTAAAAAACAAAGCAAGTCTTATGAAATCACTGTCACAATCACAAAACCTAACTTCTGCATCTCTTTTGGAAGTTATTTTTGGGTTTTCAGAGCTGTCATTTGACAAGCCTTCAAGAAGAGACTCTTTTTCCCTCAATTCGTTTTTGCCTGTTTCTTAAAATGCTAGACGAGATTGGCATGCAAACTGTTTTATTTGTTAATATCTATATATACAGTTGAATCTGTTAGTATGCCTATAAGCTCTTGTACACACGTAACAGCCAATGTGGGATGTGTGAAGTTGCTTTGATTGACTTAAAAGCCAAAGTCTTCTCTCTCTTTTTTTTTTTTTTTTTTTGTGTTGTGATAAGTTATTTGCCAGAGCTCTAACCGACCCCATTTTAGGATAGGGCGGGAAGGTAATGGGGAAAACAATTGCACTAAATGCAAGTGGTTGTACATAGAGAACACCTAATACATAACGTCGAAGCAGGAAGTCTTATTTCTTAAAAGAATGTTCTCCAGACTGTCATTTACTGCAAAAGTATTCAGCTTCCACTGAGAAAATGCTCGTACAGATTATATCAATTTTATCTGGTTTGCGCTTGAGACGTTAACAAAGCATGCCGAGTTTGATAAATGTGTTTGAGCTGTAACACTACGTGAGGTATTGTGGAAGGGATTTATTTGTTTCTCTTTTTTTTGTGTGGCTGCTGCTTGTTTAGAGGAAGTTGTGGTTTGTCTCCACCTAACGTCCAGATACAGAATTTCAAGAGATTATAAAGAAACTGCATTTCAATGCGATGTTTTAGTTGATTTTTAGCTAGAGCAGCGGCTTTAGTCATGGTGTTGAATGTCTGATGCTATGCACACGAGCAACCCACCACATTTATCAGGTCATTTGTGTGGAAGCATTTAAAAATTTTGTAAAATGTGTTTTATTTTGACTTTTGTTTTTAATACAAGACCGGTTCTTTATATGAGACTCATTTTACAGCACTATTTCAGTACTAAAGCATTTAAATCTAATGATATGGCCAATATGTTGTGCTCCTCTTTAGGTGTATGAATTCACAGCTTTTAACAGAAATAAATATGTGATTCCAGTGCAACCTTTTGACATACAGCATTTCCTGAAGTGTTTGTGTGTGTGCGTGCGTGTGTGTGTGTTTTGCAGGATTAAATCAGTGCAGTATGTCTGTGAGCGCTAAAGGGAAAATTTGCTACATTTATTTGCATGTATTTTAACTGATTCCAGTGAGCGGACTGAAATGAAGCAGCTGAGCTGGGATCAGTTTACGGTTTTCCTTGAATGGTTTAACAGGGTGTGGCCTGCTTGTTGTTTAATGGCAACCTGAAGTTCTAGAGGAGGGAAGGGGAAGTTTGAATCTCTTAAGTTTCTGTTTTGCATTCAGCCTGAGTGTTAAAGAGCTGAAATGTTGAGTATTAAGCCTTCGCAGGCTCAGAGACTCCATTAAGTCCCTGGCACACATCTGTGGGAATGTATAGAGATGTTGTTTATGCACATTAATAGCATAATTATAATTACAATATGGGGATTTCATTGAACAATCCCTTCGTCAAGTACTTGTAATGCGAGGCCACCATAAATTCTTGATATTCTGTAGATGTATCAGTTAAGAAAACAAATAAAAACTGAAATACTGTGGACCTCATGCTTGGTCATATTTTCTTTGGAAAAATTCACCATTCACTTGAATGATTTAACAAGCAAATACATTTCTATACAGTAGTCGAGAGAGCTTAATGTGCCGCATTTTTAAAAAACGCATGCAAATTACAAAAAAACACCAGCAAATAAAAAAAAAAGATCTTCATCGGTTTGACAGCACACTCTGTTCACCTGTGGTAATTTCAGTTGATTGGACATGATTTGAAAAGCCATACACCTGTCTATATAAGGTCCCAGGGTTAACAGTGCATGTCAAAGCACAAACCAAGCATGAAGACAAAGGAATCGTCTGTAGATCTCCGAGACAGGATTGTGTCGAGGCTCAAGGCTGGGGAAGTTTGCAGAAAAAATTCTGCTGCTCCAAAAGTTCTAATGAGCACAGTGGCCTCCATCATAAGTGGAAGATGTTTGGAATCACCAGGACTCTTCCTAGAGTTGGCCAACCATCTAAGCTGAGTGATCGGTGTAGAAAGGCCTTAGCCAGGGAGGTGATCAATAACCTGATGGTCACTCTGTCTGAGCTCCAGGGTTCTTCTGTGGAGAGAGGAGAACCTTACAGAAGAACAACCATGTGCAGCAATTCACTAATCAGGCCTGTATGGTAGAGTGGCCAGACGGAAGACACTCCCTGCTTGGAATTTGCCAAAAGGCGCCTGAAGGACTCTCAAAACATAAGAAACAAAATTCTTTGGTCTTTTGAGATAAAAAAATGTAACCGAATGGAGTGAATGCCAGCCGTTATGTTTGGAGAAAACCAGGCACCGCTTATCACCAAGCTAATACCATCGCTACAGTGAAGCATGGTGGTGGTAGCATCATGTTGTGGGGATGTTTTTCAGCAGCAGGAACTGTAAGACTAGTCAGAATAGAAGGAATTATGAATGCAGCAATGTACAGAGACATCCTGAATGAAAACCTGCTTCAGAGTGCTTTTGACATCAGAATGGGACTACGGTTAATTTTCCAGCAGGACAATGACCCAAAGCACACCACCAAAATATCAATGGAGTGGCTTCAGAACAACTCTGTGAATGTCCTTGAGTGGGCCAGCCAGAGCCCAGACCTAAATCCTATTGAACATCTCTGGAGAGATCTGAAAATGGCTGTATACCGTCACTTTCCATCTAACCTGATAGAGCTTGAAAGGTACTGCAAAGAGGAATGGGCAAAAATTCCCAAAGACTGAAGCTTGTGGCATCATATTCAAAAAGACTTAAGGATTAATTAATAATTGCTGCCAAAGGGTAATCAACAAAGTATTTAGCAAAGGCTGGGAATACTTACGTACATGTGATTTTTCAGGTTTTTTATTTTTAATAAATTTGAAACAATTTCAATTTTTTTTTAATTATTATTATTTTTTTTGTCATTATGGGGTATTGTGTGTCGAATTTTAAGGAAATAAATGACTTTAATACATTTTGGAATAAGGCTGTGACAAAAAAAATGAAGAGCTATGAACACTTTCTGGATGCACAATGCACTGCATTTTCCGCATAATGCAAACAGCACATTTTATTAATTTGTTTGCGTTGTGAGAAAATGCAGCATGTTTTTTATGTTTATGCATTGTGAGGATTCGCAAGACTTGTGCTTTTAAACCGATGAAAATCTTCCCTAAAGATCTCTTCTTAAATTGCAGCATGTTAAGCTCTCCTGGCCACTGTATTTCTATTATGTATTAATGTTGCATTCACAGTACAGCAGGTTTTAATACATACAAAACAGACATTTTTGTGTGTTTTAAGCTTTTATATTTGATAATATCTGTTGAAAGTGCATCAAAAAAGTGTTACAAAGTACAGTATTGCTTGAGCTGCTTGTTGACACTGCATAAAAAAGTAGAAAAGAATTTCATCAGTGGAAAGTAGTAATTTTACAGAAACAATGTAAAGACTTAAGCTTAGTAATTTTGTCTCCATAAAAAGTATTGCCTTAGAACTGATGAGCAAATCATTTAAAAATCATTACGATACAAAATATGCGCAATTTACACAAAAAAGGCTGTACAAATAAATAAAATTTTATCTATAAAAGTTCCAGTTAAAAACAAGCATGACATTCATTGATTCAATAATAGTTTACACACTATAAGTTGCATTTCTTTGTGCTAAGCATTTGGCTTTTTTCACAGTAGGGTCTTGAGTGACGCCAGCGCCCGCCGGTCACACTCTGGATGTTTGACAGGTGCTCCATATCACACTCTTGGAGGAGGTGGTCTAAGAGCCTAAAAGGGGGAGAATTAACAGTGTCAGAAGACCTGATAACTATATATTTCAAATGTTTTAGTTACTTGAGAGAGGTGAATGTACAGTACAGATCACCCAAAACATTTAAATTTACCTTTTATTATCTAAGCTTAAAATAAACGATAATCAAGGATATGATATTTTGAGGCTTTCAAATCTGAAGACAAATATAAATCATTTTGATGATACTGATTTCTAATAAGGTGAATAGCTTGTGTTTAATTACCACTGAAGCGTCTTTATTTGACTCATGTTTTAAGTGTTACAATTGCCCACCTAAATTGAAGCTGTGAAACACTGCTTTATTTTATTTAAAATCAACATTATATTAGTGAAAGTATATCAACCATATCAATCGACTACCATTTTGTTTATATTGTAGAAATAGATGACTTAAGGAGGTGGGAAATGCAATCGCCTTTAGTTTTTGCTATGTAGCGAAACGGGAACGAAATGCCGCGAAAAGTGTTTCCACATGTGACGGAACATCATAGGGCACAATTAAACGGAGTTCAAACGTCATGACAAAACTGAAGACCGAATAGTTAGACGACAAAGTACTCTGACAGTGTGATAGACGGGGAAGTATGGTATAT